AAAGGTAAGGAAGGGATTTCAGAAGAAGGAAGGATTTTCAAGTGGACATTTCAGGTGGGTCCGATCATTCTGCGGGAGCCTTATCTATCCAAATATCATGCATGGAACAGACCGGACCTCACCAAAATCTGTTAAAAGTGAAATCCACCCGGATGCAAGCGATCAATCCACAAAATCTCCGATTTCGCGGTTTAAATGCCGCGTGCAGGTCCCCACTGGAACAGGGTACTGTCATTCCGTGCTCCATTCTTTGCGTTCGCTTTCGTGCAACCATGGTGTTCCTTCAAGGGAAAGTTGTTGTACAGGGGCTTATTCAGCATTTTATATCGTACTTGTGTTGAAGATTTGTCTTTACAAATGTGATTGTGTTTTTGTGCCAAAAAATTGTCTTACGACGGGTTATGGTGTGCTTGAAGTTTCGATAACTTCGTTGTCCTCCGAGCCCTTAAACCTTTTTGGCACTGAAATTTTGATGGTCTACTTGAGCACGAATACTCAAGTTTTCGAGAGAGCTGAACGTGAAGGTTATGACACGGATTATCAAGCTCTAAGTATTGTCGTACACCTAGTTTGGACGGTTTTTCTCGTTCATCATAGAAGTGTTCACTGCGGCTTTGGAAGCTCTGAATTTCACTTGTTTATTTGTTTTTTGTTTAGTAAGCTTGTGGTATAATGCCTTAGTCAGGCTTTAATCTATCGTTGTCTAAAATAAAAGGGCAGAAACATCGGAGGAGAAACGTAGAGTGAATCTGGCTGAAACGTGCTTTATCGTTCAACTGAAGTGAAAAGGATGAACTAGCCACTTGGCGACGGTGAGCTTTTCAACAGTTGCCGCTACTAATCTAAAATTTACGAAATAGCGCCTTTTTTGTACTCTTCGCATTTGTCTCTGTCCTTTCAAAGTGGTCTCATTATCAAAAATTGGAAGCTACTAATGAAAAGGTAGTAAGGAAATGAATGGATAGTTGAAAAAAAACCCAAATTAACCGTCCAAAAGGCCGTAGCAGGGTACCGGAAGAGCTCTCACTTGTTGGTGCATAATAATATAAGTTCTTGTTACTCTCCTCCAGTCTCGTCATTCGAAATGGAACGAATTGGAAGCGGAACAACCGCTCCCGAGGAAGCTTATAGAGATGAATATTGGGAG